AAAAAAAAAAAAAAAAAAATGGGCCACGAATGACTTTTTTTTGTACATAAATAAAAATAGTGGGAAAATTCCTTTCGACCGAGATCCCATAAGTCTAAATCAGAATAGTCCAGTAGTTACTAAAATATCGCAGTTTTCGTATTTCTGAAAATTGCCGTTATATGAGAAGTGGGCGTGGTTACAGTCCGATTTCGCGCATTTTCAATACCAACCTACCTTGGATAAATGGAAACCTACATACCAAATTTCGTTGAGATATCTCAGTTTTTGCTCGAGTTATTGTGTACACGGACGGACGGACAGACGGACGGACAGACAGACATGGCTTAATCAACTTCTCTATTCATTCTGAGCATTTGTGTATACATTTGTCTATATCCATCTCGATTCGTTTTGGCTGTTACAAACAACCGTTACCCTGCAGGGAAACCGCGGACTAGTGAATCAAATTTCTAGTTCCGTGCTAGGTCTTTATCGCCAAAAAGGAACTAGTCCGATAGGAACTAGATCCCCACCAGACCAAAATCGGCGAAAAGTGGTACTTTTAAAAAACTAATTTTTTCAGTTTTTTTCACTAGAAATCTATATCTAAAGTAATGAATTTAGAAATGGTTCGGAACTATAGAAAAAGGGATGCAGAACGAACTAGATCTTATTTGTCGAATTTAGAACTAGTTCGGAACTATCGAATAAGGGATGCAGCGGGGGGCTTGTTTACTTTACATAGATATGTGTTCGGGGGCTTTTTCGTTCAAATACGCTTCTATTCTGTGCTTCGCAGATGCTTTTTCATAGCTTGGTAATACAAAACTAAAATTTGTGTTAACATTTCAACATCTTGGGACCGTCAGGAATCTAAGAAATAACAGTGAGCACCTCTGAAAACTCAGCTACAGCTAAAGATATGTAAACGTACATTTCTTAAAATCATTCAAACAAATTTAATTTCAAATTGAAAACACATTTCTTCCAAAATAACTTAAAATCGCACACACGGAAGAACCAAAAAGATTGAAAAATCATGATACTTTTTTCTTTCGTCTGTCGATTTTAGAACTGGTTCTGAACTATCGAAAAAGGGATGCAGCGGGGGTCAATTGACACTTCCTAGGCCATCGCCATGTTAAATTCGCCATTTGCTTGCATGCAAAAGATATTTGTCGCGAACCAGTACTGGGTCTAAATGTACTAGAAGCGCGCCAGTTTAGAACTAGAGATTTTCCCCACAGGGTATGTGAACAAATTTAATATACCTTTGTGCACAAGTGCGCTCGGGTATAAAAATCGCCACACACAAATATTGCCACTGATAAAACTAACACATATTTGGCAAACAAAACGACGTATTGTAGGCAATAAGTCTCGCCTCTGAAGACGCGTCGTTAGCTAGTCTTTTAGTGTTCATTTGTAATACGGCCTTCCTACGGCACCGTGAATACTTTGTTCGCTCCTACAATTATGATCGCGAATGACCCCATACTACACTTTAAAATAGTGCTGCACTGAAAATCTGTTGTTAACTGCCGATTCTGAGTTAACTACGCACTGTGAATTTGGCCTTAAGTGTTTAGAATTCAACAAACAAATTTCAAATTTGGTCTACGCCACACATTTGGTAAGTAAAAGTTAAAAAGCAGTATTTAAATTGATTAACACGGTGTGCAAATTTGCATACATTTTGGGAGGGAACTGGCTACCTTTTTGAATATGCTTAAATTTAAACAAAAATTTGTGTATTTGTATTTGGAGCTTTTCGGCCGGTGTGTTGAAAATAAAAACAAAGTTTATTTTTTTCTCCTACGCGTTTCGACGCATTTTCGCGTAATCTTCAGGAAGTCTGTTTATTAATTTGCAAAAACGAAAAACATTATTAGTAACAAGCAGCGCTTACAAGCCAAACCAGATGTGTCAGGTTTTTCTTTTTTGGGGAATCTGTAACTTCATCAGCGGTTTTCGATTTAATTTCTGTAATTCATTTTTAATACTTTCTTCTGCGACTGGTTTGAAAAATGTGTGCTTATAGCGAGCTAAATAAGTGGATATGAAAAATAAATTATTATTTTCCAGGAATGAAAATTTTGAACAAAATTTTGTTTTCAAAGTCGTGGCTGCCAGCCGAATCGGATCAGAATATTGTTATTTAAAAAAAAGCACCCTGTTTTTTATAAGCATTTGAATCTCAGATAGTTACGTAATTCTTATCTTATTAAAGGTCAGACCTATAGTTTTTTAATTATTTGAGCATCGATTATCTTTATAGCAAGACGTTGATCATTTCTGCTGGAAATCCCTATTGAAGGAGCTTTCTCTTTGACTTTAAATAGCAAAGAGGGGACAGTTTTACCGCAGAAGTTTTTAGCCAAGGATCCAATGTATATCCCTATGAAAAAAATATTGCTCGACAAGTAAACAAAATTACTGCTAAAATTTTTGCTAAAAATAAATTCCCCAAAGAGCCCCATTTGAAATTATTGAAACGAATATATGGAACATCAAAAGGAAATCACGAAAATTTGGTTAGGAATTACAGTGCACACTTTCTTCTTTTGTGTCTAGTAGTTTTTTTAAGATTGGTCCAAAAAATCATAATTAAGAAAGAAAGCAATGCAGGTTTAAAGCACAGAAAAAACATTGTTAAAAAGACTATGTTCTCTTCGACGTACGTCAAAGGTCAAGTAGATGTTGGAACTTGTATGGCTGCCCATTGCTCGGTTATATAGCTTAAGAAATAATATGTTTAAAGAAATTTTTATTAGTAGTTGATAAATATGGCATTTGACCAATTTTGTTACACAAATACTCCCACGACCACAGGCAAAAATATTGGCTATAATTTGTAATTTTGTATGCCATATATACGTTTTATCAGTGCACTTTGCACAACATTCGCATTCGCAAAAGCTCCGCATTTGAAATTAATGCGGAAGCTCCGCGGTGGTGAATGCGAATGCGAATATTCGCAACAACCCTGCTACGGATGTGTGTGAATTTGTATCACTGATCGATGCTGATTGGCAATGATACTGAACTGATACGGCACTGATTTGCGAAGATAGACCTTAACTTTTATTATTATCACCAATCGATTACAATACATTATATGTACATACGTATGTACTAGGGTTACAATGGCCGGTCAGATGAATTATGGATACTAATAGAGGCGAAATTCTTCCCCTGAAGAGGTTTTCCCATTTGAGTTTCAATACGGTTTCTCCTTAACTTTTACTACGTTTATGCGTAGGCTAATTCACGAATTCATTTCATGAATTTGTGCTAAAATTGGCTGCATAAACACCATTTCATGAATTCAGTTATACACGAAAGTTAACCATGAATTCGGCATCATATCATGAAATCAAGAAATGCAAGTCCGACAACGCCACGTTTCACAAACAGCTGTTTACTAGGGTTATGATGTTTTTGGATTAAAAAGCATGAATGGCATAAACAGGATTTACAACACTGGAAAAGTTACGTGGAATTGTTCAAATATATAATAAATTCAAATAGATTAAAATGAAAATATATTAAAACCAATTTAAATATAATATGATTCATTTTCTGGTACCAACAGGTTTTTTAAATTCAAATTGAGGCCAAAAAAGCCCCAACCCTACTGTGCAGTTTCTCGCTAGTGCGTTGCCACTTTTTCGAAGATCTTTATTTCATGAATTCGCGAACTATGCATAAACGTGACCACTTTTGAATTCATGAATTCTGTCGCATAAACGTAGTATAAGATGCAAAATTACATACGAGGCGTCGCGAAGCACGCAGGGTATTTGCTAGTTATTTTATACAAAGATAATACCTAAGGTTTTTCTTAAGGTTTTTGCAAAACATTGTACTGTAAAAAGTAATAAGAAAATAATTTAATTACAGTTCACATGTTCCAGATAATGTTTGATAAGCGGAAGCAATTAATACAACAAATGGAGCAATCGTGATGGAGTATAATTTATTTAAAAAAAGGGCTGACTTTTTTTGTCCGGTGTTGCTTGTTATCTCGAAAATAACTTTTAGTTTAATAACAACAAATTTGAATAACTGAATGACTTTTGCCTTCAACCAAAAATTCTTTTTTCTAAATTTACTGACATTAGGAGTGTACTCGTACGCAAAGCTATCAAAAGTTTTAGAAAACTTTTACTGGTTTTGCGTTCTCGTACCCAAAAAACTTGCAAAGTAGGGGAAATTGGGAGGGCAAAATGTGATAGAAAGCTGCAAATTTCTGCTGGAAAAACTTTTCCCAGCGAAAACTTGCAAGTAAGAAAATCAGCTGACACAAACATATGTTTGTAAATAAACAAAAGAAAATATTACCT